ATCTGGTTGAATTTAAAATGCATCTCTGATGATTTACTTCCTTAAAAATTTAGAGAACCTGTGAGATACGATCACAGACTAGAGCAGCTGAAGACATCAGCCGTGTGAGTTCAGAGACGAACGTGTCACAAGGAACTAACCGACATCGCTCCGCTCAATGAAAACAAACGTGGAAGAGAAGCCACAGGCTGTTAGTGAAGTGCAGCAGTGACGCAAACTGGAAACACACACATGATGTAGCAGAGCAACAGATTAAAGCTGCGTCTACCTGAATGTCAAACTGATCGAGTCCAATCATAGAGCTGGCCTGAAAGCAGGAAAAAGAAAAACAACAAAAGACAAATGCCGAGATTTAAAGCCGAGCAGAAAACGGACAATGCTCAGATTCATTTTCAACAGTGTCACTGGATTGTGATCTGCCTGGGTCGACACAAACCAGGGGGGGGGGAGGAGCACAGTTTCCAGGCCACTAAATCATACGGTGCTTTATCGTCTGTCATCACAATTTACTAAATGAACATCGCGCTGTGTTGAAGCAGACTTGAAACTAGAGCTTGAGACAAAAACCCCTGAGGGAAATGTTGACTGACGCTATAAATCAAGTGAGAAGTGGAGAGGATACAGGTGTCTGGTTTCTGGTTTCTGCCAGGACCAGAGTGAAACGGTAAACAAACAGCTCGGTTACAGGAGATTCAAAGATGACTCAAGTTGTTTCTGTGACTGAGCTGATGATGAACTCACCACAGCATCGATGTCTCTGTGTCCGATCGCCTGCTCGAGAACCTTGTACTCGTCCGGAGACATGGGCATTATGTTGTCCTGCAGTCTGGAGGGAGATCTGCACCAGAGGAACACGGACGTTACCTCACGCATTAAAACATGTCACGTGTTTAATGTGTCGTCTCTGCTTACACTTCTGACACGGATATGAGCTCCGTCTTCATGTAGCATCTCTTCAATTGGTTCTCCACGTCCATCGGCTCTGGAGCTGGGGAGCAGTTAATACTCTGGTTACGTTTTGGACGTGACGGTGTTGAGTGATTGACGGGCTGAGGGTTTGAAGCGTCTTACTCTCCACAGGTTTGGGGTAGTACTTCCCGAAGGCCTTGTCTTTGGGGATGTTGGGGTAGAGGAAGCGGAGCGGGTTCTCTGGGATGTTCTCGGCAGCCATCACCTTGTAGGTGCGGATGATGTCGGGCAGAGAGACGGCGCTCAGCTCCTTCTTGGTGTACGGCTCCACAGAGTGGAAGTCCGGCTTGTCTGGACGGAGGAAGACAGAAATATCGAATTGATTACTGGTGATTTCCTGAAGAATAGAACACAGATTCGTGTCTGTGTGTGTGTGAAAGATTTAATCAGAGAATTTGTTCCAGTAAAATCAAATTTAAAAAGTCTGAATTGTACCGTGTACGTCGTGTTCGACCCAGGTGAAGGTGATGGCTCCCTCTCTGCTGCTCTCACTGAACCTGAGCAGGAAGGTGCCGGGACACTTGTCACTCAGCAGAGCTTTCTCCCGCTCCTTACAGATGAAACCCATGATGGAGCTGCCGACAGAAACATCCACTCGATTTACCGTTGAAAATAAATCTCACGCTCACCCTGTGGGGGGGAAAACCCAGCGGAACTCACCCGTCGTTCCACAGGGACAGCAGGTGTCTTTTAATGAGGTCCAGGATTCCTTCGATCCACAACCAGAAGGGGAAAGCTTTCTCATTGGCACTCTGCTGTTTCCAAAGAAAAGTTAGAGAACACACAAACACAAAAACTTCAGAGACACGTTCTCCTGCGCGACCAGAACCAAGCGAACATTAATAACCTTGCAGAACTTGGTCCAGGGGATCAGTCCCTCTGGGTTCCTCTTGGCTCTGGCTCCTGCACAGAAACACATTCACACTGTTACTTTCATAATTCACAGAGTTCTGCAGGAGAAGGTTTTTTTTGTTTCTCAGGTCTGACCCAGCAGTTTGTCGGCCAGCATGTTGAGCTGCTCCTGGTTCAGGCCCCGCTGGGTGACGGAGGAGAACTGCCAGCTGAGGACCTCGGACAGCTGAGACCAGTTGGCGGGCGGAGGAGAGAGGAAGAACTTCAGGTTCTGAGGAGGTGAAAGGAGAGAAAACACAAAACTCCATGACCTGGTTAACATCACGTTAAAGTCTGATGATGATAGCGAACGTTTGCGGCCAACGTCAATGTTAGGAAAAGATTCAAATCACTTATTTGAACCACAAGTTCATCACTTCGAGGTATCGGAATTGCGAAGGTTAAAACCCAATGAGTGTCCAGCATTGGTTCAATGAAAACATCTGATCCTGAGTGCGTCCTCACCTTGGGCTCGGTGGTGAGCATGTTGTACCAGAGGATGGAGGCCCAGCCGCTGGGCAGCTGACAGACGTTGGAGATGACCACGACAGGCAGAGACATGGCCTACAACAACAACAACAACAACAACAACAACGACAGAGTGAGTCATCTCCTTTACAATCCAATGTAATATGGATTCAGTGCAGAGTTTCTGTCGTCACCTCCAGTTTGATGTCGAGTCCCGACTGGTTGAGCTGCAGCTCGGACTCAAAGGTGAGCGAGTGGAGCTCCTCAGTGACGATCAGAGGACCCTGAACACACAAACACACACACACACACACACACTTGAGAACTACACAATGACTCTAAAACGAGCAGTGAGGTAACACAATGTGACGTTTGTGCCCTTCTATACATTTTCTTTGGCTCTCACCTCGTTCGTTCTGTTCCCGGCGACTTTCTGCTCTTTCAGTTGCTGCAAGAAGAAAATAATCAAGATTTTACAAACTTTTTTTTAAACAAAGTTTTAAAAAATCCTCCTCCGAAAACCTTTTTTACTTCGTGCCTTTTTTGGCTCCAACTAATCTCTAACAATAGTATCGTACCAAATGTCTGAACTCGGCTGCCAGGCTGCCGTTCGAGTCCTCCATGTTCATCACTTTGGAGTTTGTTCCCAAAATGTTGAACTTGCGAAACCTGAAATCAGACGGCAACTCAATCATTTTTAAATAACTCGCTGCTGCAATTCGAGTTTGTTTTTAGTAATAATGAATAATTACAAAAACAGGCATTGAAGTGGTTTTAAAACTCACCCTTTCTTTTCTGTAACGTCCCTGAGGAGGAGACAAGACATTTATTCATCATGTTCAGATGCACACGGGTACATTCAGCAGACAAATGAACTGATCAGCTTACTTGTCAAACATAGCTTTGACTTTGAGTTGGTAGTTGAACTCCTGCAGCTTCACCAGGAACCTGAACAAAAAGGAAACAAGACATTCGACTGAAACAGGAAATTGAGTCATTCAACAGGGTTTAAATCATCACAGTGAACGCTGGACTATGTTTTGTCAAAGTTACATTAACTTAAATCTTCTAGTGTCAAGTTAGAAGCAAGAGATAAGACTTTTTCCAGCGTTCGTGAAGTTCATGTTTGTCCGCTTGTTTTCTTTTCTTACCGTAGTTTCACGGTGAACTGGACGCCTGTTTTCAGCACCAGGGGCCTCTGAGGGTGGGTGGGCATGCAGGGCTGCCTCTCCACAACCAGAGAGCTGCACACAAAACAAGAGAGATTCGATTCCTGACGACTCATCACGAATAAAACCATCGGTAGCTTCTGTGTGATGGGTTCCGTACTTGGAGAGGAGGTTCTTGAAGAGATCCAGAGCTCGGTTCTCCAGGAAGGTTTTCTTCTGTGTGATGGGGTCACTGTCGTAGGTGAACTTCTGCTCCAACTCCTGCAGCTTCTTCAGGTGCTGCCGGACCTGCTGCAGACTCTCCGCTACTGCCGTGAACCTGCGGGAGGAGGAGGAGGAGGAAGAGGCTGTGTGAAAGGAAGTGGAGAAGGAGCAGGAAGAGAGACGACAGGAGGGTAAGACGAGTCTCACCAGTTCTGGAGCTGGTCCACGCAGGCGTTGGGTGGACCTCCGATGCAGGCGATCTGCTGCCGCTGCTTCCACTCGGGCAGCTCCTCGGAGATCAGGTTCGACAGTAATGCCTGGATGACGTTCAGGAGGTCCGTCAGCTGGGTCACCACATCCTGACACACACACACAAACACACACAGAGCAGGTCACGTGCTTTTTCCACTTTTTCCACCTCAAATCTTGATTCTGAGTTTTCAGGTGTTTCCAAAGATGGACGTCACCGCTCTCTGCTCACCTGTCGTTTGGCCTTCAGCTCGAAGCACATCCTCCCGATCAGCAGTTTCTCTCTCTCCAGCTCCTGCGGTGTCATTCCGTTCGGTTCGATCTCTACAGAAACAGGAAAACACACAATTACACCTCAAGTCTGATTTAAGTACGAAACAAAAAAGACAGATTTGGATTTTTCCTCACCTCTGTTCTTCAATGTGTTGATTTTGAAGTCGTACTCGTCCTGCATGTACTCCACGTTCTTAATGTTCTGATCCACAAACTGAAGAAGAAGAATATTATATCATTTCCAGTTGTTAGTTGTGCAGTCTTGCATTTTATACGAAATATTTAATACGCTTTAGTCACATTAAGTCTTCACATTAAGTCTGGACTGGATTTATTTCCCAAGGAGACACTTCCTGCGCTGGTCAGTGATTTTAATCCTCTTGTGGGTAATTTGTCCAGGATCCGGCTCCTTTTAGTTTTCTATCCTCACCTCGGTTTGTGATAATGTCCCGTAATTCACGTGATGTCTTACCTGGACTGTGTCTTTTATCTCCTTCACTTTGTTGTCCAGCTTCTGTTTCTCCACCACCATGGCCGACACTGTCCCCTCACCCTCCTGCTGCAGAAACGAGAGGTGAAACTTTATTTACTTTTTCCACAAATCCTTCAAAGAATCACTCTTTAAACCTCGTCAGTATTCTTTTATTACGTATTCACAGCTTTTACATTGGCGCTCTTTGCGCTGTCCAGGATCTTCTGCTCCTCCTTCAGGTTTCTGGAGATGATCATGGCCATGTTGCTTGGATCATCCTGGAACCGGTCCTGCAAAAAAAAAAACCAAAAAAAAAAACACTCAAACGTGTATAAATGAGTTACACCTGACACAAACCCGCTCTGGTTTGAAGCATCGGCTCCAGGGTCTGACCTGCAGGTTCCTCTTAATCTTGCGGATGTTGTGCTGCAGCAGGAAGTTGTTCTCAAGGGCGAAGCGGCTGTGTTGGTCGTCCAGCTGAGCCAGGAGGTCGTGGAACCGGACGGTGGCCAGGGACTCCTGAATCGACACTGTGTCCCTGAGGAGGCAGATGTTATTTTCAGGTGTCCGTCACAAAACCAATTTCTCCACTGAATTTGTTTGGTAAACCACTTTTAATACAAGAGACGTCTGTCACGCTGCAGTGTTTCATTTCCTACCAGTCGATGCTCTCGATCCATTTGCTCAGATACTGTCTGATGTCCATGGGGAAGGAGTCGTCATAGAGCTGGTCCACCTGCTCCAGGTACTTACAGTCCAGCATCTGCAACTGGCACCACTGCGCCATATTCTGCTGAACAGGAGCCGCGTCAGGAGGATTCAGGGTAAGAACTTTCAGATGTGTTACAACTGGAGATGTTCTGAAACCAGAACCAGCATCAGAAATACCAGCGCTGTGGTTTCACATATTTCTCAATATAGTATTTCAACATTCTGGTGTCGTAACATCTCCAGTTTACTGTTTCTGTGTTGTATTCAGTCACTGCATTGAGACTTTAAAATGTAAAGAAATAAAAATGTGACATTTATCGGGAAAATTCTCGATATCGACTCGTATGAACATCATCCCGGATACTTGTAAAATTAGAATCCAGCTCCTCCTCCTCCTCCTCCTCCTCCTGCCTGATTTATCTATCAATTAGAAACTAACCCTAAGAAACGAAACCAAAGGGCTTTAGAATTCATCTGTGAGGATAAAAGTTTGTATGGATTAGAAGTCAACACCGGGTCCTGTCAAACATTTTGTTCTCTTCTGGTGGAAAAGTTGCATAATTGAGTAAATCATAAAGTAAAAAGCCAATTAGTGAATCTGAAAAAAGGAAAAAAACGTGGATGTGACTCATCCTTACATCTGAAAGCGAGAAGATATTTGCAATAACTCGAATATTATCTGTTTCTGTAGCAAATGTTTCTTCAAACTTCGACTTTATTCATGTTTTCTTAATTACAAGCTGTGGACGTGAATGTAGGTGGATGTCATATTAGGTTTCGTTTTTCAGCAGGAACACAAAGAGACACCTTTATGCTTCTCATGCATAATATATTTTAATATTCCACAGCAAAACAGTAATGTGACTCGTATTAAGCTTCTATAACACCTTTCACCAGACTCCACTTACATAATGAGCTTTTTAAGAGTTTTCTACCACTTTACCAATCGTGTGTAATTAAACCAATGCAACTCAACACTTTGATTGGATGATGACGATCGCCTGGTGCATTCGGTGTTGATTTATATTAATTCATAACTAATATTTAATAGTTTGCAGGTTATAATCCACGTGTTTGAGCCCACGCTGTGGGCGGTGACGGATACTTATCAACAAAACTAACGTGAGCTGCAAAACACAGAAATGATCATTAGTGACGTGATCGACAGGAAATCAGGTTTAATTGTTAAGATAAATTGGCCGAAAGCATTTCTGGGTTACACAACGTCCCTCAGGCCGGAAGTACGTGATAACACTCACCTCGAGTTGAGAGGAGACGAGTTCGATTCCGCACAGAAGAGAAGTTTTAGTTCACGTCTGAACCCAGTGTTGACTCTGACTCCGACTCTGACTCTCAAGGTAACGCAGTGTGGGTTACTTTACGGAAACGACGTCAGCCAATCCCCGCGTAGGATTTGCCCCCTACGCCCGCCCCTTCCCTCCTGACAGCCAACCAGAGCGCGGCGATGTCAGCTGTTCCGTCCGCTGGCGAAGCGCCGCCCGGACAACGTTAAAAACGTTTCGATTATTTTAATTAAAAAAACTTAACGAGGCGCAAAATCACCAGCGAACACGCGGGTTCGGTTTGTTGAAGAGTCCGCGGGTTTTCCGCGTGGATTTAAAATGAGCCTGCGACGAGTGGAGGCGGAAATAACGAGCAGGCTGGAGGGAGGGAGGACAGCGCACAGAACAGCCTCCGGTGACCACGTGTTTTCAGAGAAAGAGAAAGTAAGTGAGGTTCCTGCAGAAAACGAAACTTAACAGTTTCTACTCGTTTCATAATAATGAGAGATCAGCGTCCTCTCAACCTTAGTGGGAGAGATAAACCCTCTGGAGGTCATTATAATAATAATCATAATAATAATAATCATAATAATCATCATAATAATAATCATCATAATAATAATAATCATAATAATCATCATAATATAGAATTCAAATGAAAATCTATTTGCTGTCGTTAACAGAAGCAGAATGAGCATAATATAAAAATCACTGTTTATTATTATAAAGTTTGACATTGTTGTGTCTTCAACAAGTCAGACGAGTCAAACCCCTGATTTCTGACACTTGGAGCGAGTGATTAATACTCGGGCGTCACAGAATGTAATATTCTTTATTGCGATATCATGAGCAGTTTCTCAGAAGGTGTGTGTCATACAGAAGAGCGAGAGAATAATGTTACCTGTTAATGAACAACACCCCAAAAAATATATATATTTAAAAGATATACACGTTCATCCAAGACCGACCGTTTGTTTCTCAATATAAAATAAATCTGTGGTAATGCTGATGTATATAAATGAGTAATAACTCCTGTTACATATGCAAATAATTCTATTTCTTACACTTATGAGATGTACAGCACATTTTTCACTATTCGTATTCACACAATGCACAAACTGAGTCCTTGAAACTACGACGGCGCTGCAGGTAAATGTCTATTACAGTCAAACTCCCACAGTTCTTGTCGTGTCTCCAGTGTTAGTTTCACTGTCAGAGCACCGACCTCAGGTTTTACAAACACAGATCGTGTGTGAGCAATATCGTGTTTAAATTGTATAAATCAACGGTTACAGAAAGATAAATAGCAAGAAAAGCAAGACACGGAATCTCGTGAAAAGGAATATTTCTGCTTCTCTAACATCTTGATTCTTCTTCCTATCTTGTGGCTTTGTCTTAAGAAACACAGGACAAAAACTAAATTATCTTGGATCCACATTGTTGCAGCAATGTGACCATATCCCAAAAAAGAAAAGAAAAAAGGGAACTCAGGGTCACCGCAGAATCACAAACGTGAATGTGTGTCACTCGTGGACGTCCTGTTCCAACAGCGAAGCAAAGGCTTGTGGGTCAGAAACCCCTGCGAGGCACAACAACAGTCGGGACATCTGCACTCAGCTTCAAATCGAGATGAAACCTCCCTCTGAGATCACATTTTCTGCTCACATCGTAAATTTGGCTGATGGGTCCTAGTGTTCCCTCGGTGTTCAGACACTGTTAAATCAGTTGATGATGATTTTAGATCTGAATCAGGCTTCAGACGACGGCTGAGTGTATAAATCAATGATCAATGTGTGAGTGCACCATGTTTACACCAGTTCACCAACAACCAACACACCCACACCTTCAGCTGCGGTGCTGCAACTGTCCACTAGATGTCTCCCCAGACCTTTTCATATTTATGCTTAAGAAACAAGAAGAAAAAAGTAAAATTAGACGAGCAAATCCATTTTTAAATCTCAGGGCAGAGTGAATGTGTGTGTACAATGATTTTACAGGCTTTATTTTTCTTAAGTCTGTCAAGGAGAACATGTTTTCATCTCCAGTTGTTTGTAAGTGAGAAGGACAACGATTCAGCCCCAACTCATTTTATATTTTTGTATTGTGATCAACTTAAAAACAGAAGATCCAACTCGAAACCTCCAGAAGAAGAAAACTACACTGAGGAGAAAATCCCTCAGCCTCTCGCCGTCTGTCGTTCAGCTCCATCCATTCACCAGCCTCTGCATGTTGACAACATATCACAACGCACCTGCAACAACGTCCTTGTAAAAGTGTCTTTCTCTCTGTCGCCGTGACGGTCTTGGGAACTGGTCACAGCGAGGAGTCTGCAAACAAGCATCAGGGCAGAGAGTCACTCAGTTCATGTTTTGTAAAATCAGGGCGCACATGAAAGACGCCCTGCAGGGTCAAGACTCAAATCAGGACACGTTGTCATGTGGACGGGAGGACAGGGAGCAGCAGGAGTTCATCTGTGTGTGCACGATGGAAAACAAGTCTCATATTGTGTGAAAAGTTGTGTCTTCTGTTACGGTGGATAAATAACAAGTTCAAGAAATTTATATTGAAAATCAACAAAATCTGATTCAGCAGCTGATTACTTGAAACGGACACAGTTGTGTTTCCAGGGACAAATTGTTCAGGAGCAGCCGCAGTGGTCGACCACCATGGACGGGATCTTCCCGTAGATGATCTGCTCCTTGCGGTTGAAGTAGAGCATGTTGATGGGCGACATCTTGGTGGGCGTGCAGCAGGGCCCCGCAGTGCCCCGCGGGTTGGCCTTGTTCACCAGGTGTGCGTGCGGGTACTGCTGCAGGTGCATGAACTCGCACTCGCCCGAGCAGTAGTTGGCCCGGTAACGTTTGGGCGCGATGATCCAGTCCCAGCCGAACTCCTCGAAGTCGACGGTCAGCGGGTAGCGGCAGCAGCGCGTCTCCGCAGACTCCTCGTCGCAGTTGAGGCCCGAGTCACGACGGGACCTCTTGGGGCTGTCGAGGATCTTCACTTCGATGAAAGGTTGCTGGAAGGGACATTTAAAGAAAGAGTCACAGCCCTGTGGTTGTGTGTCTCTGACGACCCGTGCAGTTTTTTTCCCCAGGCTCATATGAGGTCACCATGACCTTTGACCTTTGACCACTGAGATCTAATCAGTTCATTCAAGTATAAACACAAATTTGAACTGACCAAAGTTGATCTGCTGATGAAGAACTCACTGAAAGCTCCAGAACGAGCAGGTAAGTCGACCTCGAGTCATTTGGTTTTACACTGAATCTTGTATTTCATGTATTGAATTTGATTTGCAGTGAACTCACCAGTCCTTCCTCTCCAGGCTCTGCAGATGTCACAGCCAGATCTTCTCCCCTGGAGTTGTAGGCGTTGATCTCGATGCCGTAGTTGGCCTCCGGTTGTCGCAGCCAAGCCTGCAGCATGGACTTGATGTCGACGCTCTGCCAAGAGCCGCTTCCGGCGTCGATGTCGATCTTCAGCGAGCGCACTCGCACGCGGGTGCTGTTCCCCTCGTTTCCAGGTTTGAGGTGGGAGAGCTGCAGGAACACGGTGGTGACCATGTGGGCCGGCCGCAGGTGAACCCACAGCTGAGCCGTCAGGATGTTTTTGGGCTGGATCTTTGGACTGAGACTGAAGAGACAACAGGAGGACAACTCGTCCTGGGAGATCGGGTTGTCTGGAAGAAATGTTAAAAAATGAAACATGTTAATAGTTGAAAGCTTGTTACTGCTTTAGTCCAGAACTGGGTGACACTTGGACATTCATGATCCCCTGAGGATGAGCCCTAGTTAATCTGGTGATGCCCTGATCTTTCCTCCACCACGACAGGAAATAAATGATCCATTGAAATGACGGCCTGTGTCTGGGTGTGTTATCGTGTTCTCATGCATGAACCTTTAAGGTGCCAGAATATTTCCTCAGATAGATGATGGATATATTTAATACTGCTGCAGTATATACTCTTTAAATATAACATTTAAAATCACTCACACCTTCATCATGTTGTCACGTTCGGTTTCAAAGCTTCTAGAAACTAACTTTTTTAATTCACATTAATATTTCTTCTTCAAACTCCACAAAGCTAAACGTTAAAGTGTGAAAAGTTCCTTATAATTCTTTGTAGAACATAAATCAAGTATTAATTCTCTCCATTATTCTGGATGGCTACAGGAAACAAGCGTTACGCACGGATTTTACGCACGGATTTCGCCTTTTACGCACGAAGTTTTCGAACAGATCCAGTCGCAGGACCGAAAAGAAACTGTAAAACATATATGTTGGTTCGGTTTAGTTACGCATGGTGGCCATAGTGATGATGGTCTCCGTCGTGGCGTGGTCCTCCTCCTCCACCCGCGGGTCGTACTGGTCCAGCAGCTGCGTCAGAGGCGGCGCTTTGGGGAGCAGCTGGCGGATCATGTCCCGGCTGATGTTGGGCGCCTGCTCCAGCCGCAGGATGCTGAGGATCTGGGACTTGATGCTGTGGAGCCTCATCTGCTTGTTGTGCTCCCGGTATTCGCAGGGCGAGCACTGCTCCCCGCTCTCCACCGGCAGCCTGGAGGTCTGGTTCGTCTCCATGGAGAAACCCGCAGAGGAGAGGGCGGACAGACAGAACAAGAGGAGCATCCTGGGGGAAGGAGAAGACGCTGCAGTGACGCTGGATGATATGAGACTGTCCCCACACACCAGCATTTTATGATTGGCTGCCAGGAGGATCTTTTTTTAATCAGAGAGGAGACTTAAAGAGGTAGTAAGTTTATATCATGGATATCCAACTTTGTTCAAGGAGAGTTTTCCATCTGCTTTACATTTTTAAACTCATTCAAAACTTTTATTTCAAGAAAAACAAAAGTTATTCTTGCCCAAGAAAACTTCAGAAAGAAAAATCAAACGAGGCTTTTATTTTTTTATTGTCTTTGTTTTGAGGCAAGAAATAAAGATCTCACATGTTTCAGCTGCTACTTTTACATTTGACTATAAACCTTTTGTTGTTGTTGTTTTTAAAAAGAGCTTTTACAACCTGAAATAAGTTTTGGTATGAAAAAAAGTTCTGCATTTATTTATTAGTTATTGTCCCATTTAGGATCCAAGAAGCTTCCCTGTAAATAAGTCCATACACTTTAAATACAAGCTCCCTGTTGAATAAGAATATTCCTCTTGTAAATCCCTCCATGTGTTTTGTGCTGCTCCTCCCACCACTCAACAGCAGAGGGAGGACATGTGTTTGGCCTCCTGTTTATCAGCAGCTTCAAACTTTAAATTAACCTGCTCGGAGTCCAGAGAGGAGCTGCAGCACAGCACGGGGTAAAACATTCACTCTTCAGCTGTAATATCTCAACTACAGTTCACTTTGTTTTCAGTTGTTCAAAACTTTAAATGTTCCTTTCTGCAGGCTTTGAGTCAAATGAATCCAGATAATGTGAAGGTCCGTCGTCTCAGGTTGACTCAACAAGTCATTCAGCAGTCTGTGCTCTTTGTATCTGATTATATTTGTAATATTTTCCCCTTTTGAGTTGAGTTAGTCTGTTGAATGTTGTGTTGCCTGCAGTTGAAGTCAGGTAAAACACTCGTGACCTTGGCTGAGGCTCTACAAGCTTGTTTGTTTTGATTCTTCTGTTTTTGTTAAACACAACCTGCAGGTGAGGTTGAACCGTCCTCATATATATACGGGTCAATATCTCCTGGAAGAGTTTTGAACACGCTCCTCGTTCTTGTCCTGTTTTTTTCTGCAGTCATGGAAAGTGTCTTCAAATACTCATCCTGCTGAAAACACTAGTTCCTCCAGTGTCTCTGTGAGATGGGATGTACTGAGTCCAGATTCTGGCCTTGGTCCTGCTCACGCAAACAGAAGGACGACGTCATCGACAAACCAAGAAGAGAAGAAACCAAATCTTTCCTGGAGGACGTGAAGGAGACTGAATGTGTCGTCAGTCCAGAGGAGACGGTGGCTGACCCTCGTTCTCTGACTCTTCCTCCAGTCAGTAAACCCGTACTGGAGTTTGCTCAGAGGATGTCGGAGGATATCGTCGCTCAGGCTCTGCAGGTCTTCTGGGAGCTGGAGATTCGATACAAGAACCTGCCTTTCATCGACAGTGACTGTGATTATGTTATATGAGCTGGATAAGAGACGTTTGTGACTGAACCAGGACAAACCACCAACATGATGCTGCGCTGCTGCAGGAATGCAGCTTCTCTTTGCAGAAACATGTCTGCAACGTGTGTTTTTTAGGTATTTGAGCTTCTTTCACAACACTGCAACATGTGATTATATGTGTTGGAAACAATGGAGCTCTACGACTCACAGGAATACGACCAATCTGGATCTGGATGCTCAGTTTAAATAATAGTATAACAATAATAAACCTGTAGTGATACCTGTTACACCCTCCACCAACCTGAGCAGTTTTCATAGTTTCTAATCGGCTCATCTTTAAGTCCAACTGAATTTTTGTCACAGAATTTTAAACTAAACTCTAATATTTCACCTTTTCAAAGTTTTAACAGTTGTTTTTTTTATCTTTCTATCTTTTCACCAAGTTTACTCCATGAGCTGAAACCAGCTTCTTGTATCAAGAGCAACAGATGAACTGAGCTGCAGAACGGTGCATGTTATCATCACATGTAATAAACCAAAAGTTTCTTTAGATAATTTAAATCAGTTTTGGTCATAAATGAAAATAAACAAAATCCCAAAATGCATGAAAGACTCTTTTTCCTCCAGTGTCACAGAATCTCTGTCCGTGAGAAGATGAACATGTGGGTTCCACACTTTGTTTCTCAGCAGGTTTTCTGTGGACATGAAAACAGATCCAGAGGTGAGCGGGGTTAAGTCAATGTTTCCCTGCTCGGCCTCTCGCGTCTGTTTTGTCAACAGAAGAGATAAAGACGACAAGTTCAACTGAACTTAACAGAAATGAACTCGACAACGTGACGTCACTGTGGACATTGGTTCAGTCTGAATCTTCAAATGAACAAAGTGAGAAACTGGTTCATGTGTGTGTGTGTGAAGCTTGTGCTGAAACCTGCAATAGCAGAAACGTGTCCAGAAGATGGCGTTAGAAGGCAGCTCATGCTGTCTGTGAATGGATCAATACTTTTATTCCCATGTAATAGTAATAATGAAAATATTAATTTGGGAGCACAGATCTACAGTCTTGATGGATTTTTTTATTTAGCAAATTCAAAATGTTGTG